TTTTAGTATAACTAAGACCCATGTAATGTTTGGGACAAATTTAACTGGGGGTCCTGTATTTTATGTGGTAACCCTACCCAAGAATCATCTTGAGGCTTCTTAAATACAGATCCTGGGCCCAGCCCCAGAGATTATGATTCAGCAGGTCTGAGGTGGGGCTCAGAAAGCTGCCCTCTTAACCGTCTCTGGGGACTCTGATGGGAGTGTTCAGGCCACACTTTGAGGAACACTAGTTAGATTCTCTACAGGAGTCATAAGAATTTCTCCGACAGCAGTTAGCCATACTTCTTAGCAGGGAGTATGCAAATATAAAACAAAGCCACTTATATATTCCAAGCTAATATCATGGAAAGGCACATTTTGTAAAAATCTCTGTCTTGAAATAATTTAAGGTGTCAAATAAAAGGGCAAAGCCAAACAAAACAAAACAAAACAAAATAATAACAACAAAAACAAAAACCCTGAAGGAATCCAATCAGGTTCTCTGTGTGACTTTTCTGCCCCATTCCTGGAAAAAGTGGCCACTATGATCAGCCCAGGAAGATTGTGGCAGGCATGTCATGCAACAGGACATGTAGACCTTTCTGCATTTTTTCCATTAATTTTCTTCAGGTTGCTCAAGTTTTAGCATTTTTCTCTAAATAAGGCTCTGGGCACAATTCTGAAAGCATTACTTCTGTTACACCATAGGAATCTGGAAACCTCAATGATTGCAAAAACCCCGGAAACAGGGGACAATCAAGTCCAGTGTGAACCTTCAGTGCAATGATGACCAGAGATCACTGGATGGTGAGTGGATTTCAGGCTTGCTCTACAGGGTAAAATCAGCTTAGATGCTACTACAGGCGGCACACGGCCATTTAAAAAACATATCTATCTTTTAATGACCACAAAAGCATCTTAGAGTCCCACCCAGGAACAACTCTCTGTTGGAGAAGGCACATCCCCAGTCCAACCACATCTGTAAGAAGAGAAAACACCCAACTCACTTTCCATCCACGGCCTCGACAATCTTGACCTCAATCTCCTGCTCGTACAGTGTGCGCAGCATCCGGTCCCGCCTGTCTTTCCTGCGTTTGAGGTTTATCATGAAAATCTAACACAGGAAGAAAAAGGGCAAAGAAGAACAAATTACTCAGGTCTTATTTTAGGCTCTTTGAAAAAAGTTCAGTGAATGTAAGGACCAAAGTTTTAGGTAGAATAAGGAGTGGGAAGGATAGGGAAAACCGTGGTGAAGATTTGTTTATATTTCAGATTAGGTTTATGTAGGATAAATGATATTAATCAGAATTGAATTACTTTAAAAACTATATTTAGTGAAGTAACTCTCCTTGTTTCTCTGATGTTTGTTGATAAATATGTTTTTCTTGCTCTTAGGATAGGAAAGTTCAAAAGGTTAATCTTCAAGAGGCCCAAGGTAGTCCTTGTTTGCAGATAACATAATCCTATATTTAGAAAAACCTGAAGACTCCACCGAAAAACTGTTAGAACTCATAAATGTATTTAGTAAAGTTGCAGGATACAAAATCAACATCCAAAAATCAGTAGCATTTCTATATGCCAACAGTGAACAATCTGAAAAAGAAATCTAGAAAGCAATCTCATTTATAATAGCTATGAAAAAGTTAAATACCAGGGAATAAATTTAACCAAAGAAATGAAAGATCTGTACAATGAAACTATAAAACACTGTTGAAAGAAATTGAAGAGGATATTGAAAAATGGAAAGATATCCCATGTTCATGAATTTGAAGAATTAATATTGTTACAATGTCCGTACTACCCAAAGTGATAAATAGATTCAACGCAATCCCTATCAAAATACCAATGACATTCTTCACACAAATAGAAAAAACAATCCTAAATTTGTATCGAACCACAAAAGACCTCAAACGGACAAAACAATTCTGAGTAAGAGAACAAAGCTAGAGGCATCATACTACCTGACTTCAAAATAATACAAAACTATAGTAACCAAAACATCATGGCATAGGCATAAAAACAGACATGAAGATCAATGGAACAGAATAGAGAATCCAGAAATAAATACATGCATTCACAGCCAACTCATTTTCAACAAAGGCACCAAGAACATACCTTGGGGAAAGGACACCCTCTTCAATATTGTGCTGGTAAAACTAGATATGCAAATGCAGAAGAATGACACCAGACTCCTATCTTTCACCAGATACAAAAATCAAATCAAAATGGATTGAAGACTTAAATGTAAGACCTAAAACAATAAAACTACTAGAAGAAAACTTTGAGGGAAATGTTTTAGTACATTTGTCTGAACAAAGATTTTTTTGTGTAAGATCACAAAAGCACAGGCAACAAAAGCGAAAATAGACAAACGGGATCAAATCAAGCTAAAAAGCTTCTGCACAGCAAAGAAAATAATCCCAAGTGAAGAAACAATCTACAGAATAGGAGATTTTGCAAGCTATCCATTTGACAAGGAATTAATAACCAGAATATATAGGGAACTCAATTCAATAGCAAAAAACCAAATAATCCAATTAAAATGGGCAACAGATCTAAACAGACATTTCTCAAAAGAAGACATATAAATGGTCAACAGGTATATGAAAAAATACTCAAAATCACTGATCATCAGGGAAATGTAAATCAAAACTGCAATGAGGTATCTTGTCCCAGTTTAAATGGCTATCATCAAAAAGACAAAAATGGGTTGGGTGCGGTGGCTCACGCCTGTAATCCTAGCACTCTGGGAGACCGAGGCAGGAGGATCGTCTGAGCTTAGGAGTTCGAGATGAGCCTGAGGAAGAGCGAGACCCTGTCTCTATCAAAAAAATAGAAAGAAATTAGCTAGACAGCTAAAAATATATAGAAAAAATTAGCCGGGCATGGTGGCGCATGCCTGTAGTCCCAGCTACTTGGGAGGCTGAGGCAGTAGGATTACTTGAGCCCAGGAGTTTGAGGTTGCTGTGAGCTAGGCTGATGCCACGGCACTCTAGCCCAGACAGTAGAGTGAGACTCTGTCTCAAAAAAAAAAAAAAAGACAAAAATGGGTAGGCACAGTGGCTCATGCCTGTAATCCTAGCACTGTGGGAGGCCAAGGTGGGAGGATTTCTTGAGATAAGAGTGCAAGACTAGCCTGAGCAAGAGTGAGACCCCATCTCACTAAAAATAGAAAAATTAGCCAGGTGTCATGGCACGTGCTGTAGTTCCAGCTACTCGGGAGGCTGAGGCAGGAGGATTGCTTGAGCCCCAGAGTCTGAGGTTGTAGTGAGCTATTATGATGCCACTGCACTCTAGCTAGGGCAACAGAGCGAGACTCTGTCTCAGAAAAAAAAAAAAGAAAGAAAAAAAAAGAAAAAAATAACAGAAGCTGTTAATGATGCAGAGAAAGGGAAACACTCATCACTGTTGGTCAAAATGTAAATTAATGCAGCAACTATGGAAAACAGTATGGAGGTTCCTTAAAAAACTAAAAATAGAACTATCATATGATCCAGCAATTCCACTACTGGGTATATATCCAAAAGAAAGGAAATCAGTATATAGAAGAGATATCTGCACCTCCCGATTTATTGCAGTCAAGATATCAGCCTAAGTGCCCATCAGTAGATGAATGGTTAAAGAAAATGTGATGTATACACAATAGAATATTATTTAGCCATAAAAAGGAGTAAAATCTTGTCATTTGCAGCATCACAGATGGAACTGGAGGACGTTATGGCAAGTGAAATGAGCTGGGCATAGAAAGACAAATATTGAATGTTCTCACTCATACGTGGGAGCTAAAAAAAACCATTGATATCATGGAGGCAGAGAGCAAAATGGTTATCAGAGGCTGGGAAGGCAGAGGATGAAGACAGATTAATAGGTACAGTTAGATAGAAGGAATAAGTTGTACCGTTCAATAGCACAGTAGGGCAACCATAGTTTACCAGAATTTACAGTATATTTTAAAATAGCTGGGAGAGAAGATTTGGAATGTTCCCAACACAAAGAAATGATACATGTTTGAGGTGATAGATATCCCAATTACCCTGATTTGTTCATTACATATTACATGCATGTATCAAAAACACATGTACCCCATAAATATGTGCAACTAGTTTTGCATCAATTAAAAAATACCATTGGGGGAATAAAAGAGGCCAAAGGTGAATTAAACTCAAAACACACACTACTAAGGGGTTGGAGGCAGTTTGGCAAGTTGTTAAATTCATCAGCAGACTTGAGTTAAAGTTCCGAATGTTATTTACCAAGTGTTTGTCTTGGGCCAGTTCCTATGCCTCAGTTTCCTCATCTGGAAAACTGGAATAATTACTGTCCTACCTCATGAGTACTGCATATTATTGAATAGTATCATTATAATTTACATCCACTGTAGGCAAACTTAAAGTCATTCAAAGAATAATAAAAATGTTAAGTCTTAAAACATATTTCCAAATGTTCCAAACTGAATTACCAAGGTCTCAATTTTAGATGCTTTATTACTAAAATTCTTCAATTCCCTTAGAGATAAGGAAATTTTTCTGAAATAAGTAAAGAGAAGGGGTCCTGCCCTTGTGGGTAGCCCTTTGACAGGAGAAGAGAGAGGAAAGGCATAATTTCCACATCATGTCGATTATAGGAAACGCTGTAGAGAGGACAGCTACTGGTCCATGAAGTACCAAAGGATGTGTGTTCAAATTTCCCCCATGTGGGCTGGGTTCGTCTGTGGCCCCTCACCTTAGCCCCTAAATTCCTGACGGCTGCACTAAATATATACCTGTCATGTGGCCACTACAAGGAGTTACAGACAATGAGGTTGTTCTCACTATTCCCAGATTTCAGGAACCACAGAAGTACCTAAAGCCTCATGAATGCTATTACAGGTAAATTCATGAGGTCCTTTTGCTACAAGCAGGAATAAACTCATCTTGAATGTTAAACTAGACCTCCAAGATTGGGAGACTTTAGTTGCCAGTGAGAAATGATGATGATGCACACACGGTAAAGAAGAAACCTACAAGAATAAGTCGGATGATGTTGACTTCATCCTGACTAACCACCTGGATAACTGTGCGGAAGACATGTTTTCTAGGTCCAGTTCCCTGGTCTGTAAAAAGAGGAAGTTGAACAAACTCATCTCTCAAGTTCAGTACAGATTAGATTAAAATGTCCAAGATCTGTGGTTTATAATAAAGTCTGCTTTTTGCTATGATCAGAATAAAGGAGAAATTATGTCTTATAACCAACCTGGGGTTCAGACTACACTGAGTTAGGGTTTGGTCCACACGGCCATTCTGAATGTAGTCATAAAAATATATGTTTTACTAGGATCAAAAGCTACACAAAAATTTCAACCCTTCCTTGCAAAATATTCCCATTTTTATCCATTTATAAATCCCTGGGCAAAGAAACTAACGGGGGAGCAAGGTGTCCTCTTTGAAGAAATTATCCACCTGATCCAAGGCAAAGTAGATGAAGTGCATCATAATTTTATTACCTCCCTTGTTTGCCTACCAGGGTAATTATTTTTTTAAAAACATAATTTACATGGTGACTGTATTTGCCTCATTGCTTGGGACTTTATAACTTAATGGGTTGTGTTTTTCTGTGTTTCATTTTCCCCCCTGTTTAGAATCCTACTGCCACGGGCTGTGTTCCATCCCTCCGTTTTACAGATACGGACGGGAGAGGGCTTTTCCTCATGTGTAAACATGGAGCCACTTGGGGTCACTTCAGGAGAGCAAAAACGCAACACGACCAAAAACAGACAGCGATGCATCCCCCAAAGCCCCTCAGACCAGAGACCTCCAGTCTGGGAAGACTTTAGTAAATAACAATCCAGTCCCAGTCCTTCCCAGGATAAGTGCCACAAAACTGTAGTCGCGAAGGACAAACAGAGGGCTCACTCACACAGAGTGAACAGCAAACAGAGAAAAGAGCCACAACGCCAAATGCAGTCCCGACACCCCCAGTGAGGTAGCAGAACACTAGGAGGATTGAAAAGGCCCCTGTGCATCCCTTTTTCTACCCTCCTATCTCCGTTCCAGGAGGAGAGATAATTACCCCGGGCTCAGCAAAGTCGAGCCTCCAACCTGTGTTACTTTACATAGGGTTGGCATTTTCCCGAAGGGCTGTGGGAGTGACCCAGGTCCTACACTGTGTCCCACCAAAAGACCAGAGCTAGAAGATCCTGGGTTTTGTCCCATTTTATTTGCTTTGGTTCGGTCCTCATAGGAGTGTGTTTTTAGGAGGAAAAGTGAATATATACGAAGACACTTGGGTGCTCTCACCTATGAATAACAAGCTGAAAGCTGGTGCGAGCTCCAGGGAAGGAAAGCTACAGGACTCTGTGGAAGCCGTGCCAGTGTGTGGTGTGGGCCAACCCTGACTGTTTTGGAAAACTATTTACAATTGAGTCTCACCACTGTCTACTACATTTAAGTTCATCTCTTCTCATTCTGCCTTCCGTGGAAATAGTGTAATAGCTGTTAACTCCTCCCCATTTAATATTCGTGAAATACTCTTGCCCATTCCTGAAGTCTAGCTCCAAATCAGTTTTACAGAAGTCCCAATTCCCAGTTCTAGTAGCTCTTTAAGGCAGCTGTACTTTGGGGACACGGATGTGTATGCTACAGTGTGATAAACAAGGCATTTGCCTTGCAGTGGCAATGAGCGCAAACAAAGCACAGGGCTTGGCCTCCAGAAGCCATGGGAAAATTCCCTCTTGGTTCGTGGATTCCTGAGGCTCAGTCCTGGCTTCCAGACCACCAAGCTTCTTCTGAATATCGTCGAGCAGCTACGTGAGGGACCTACGAAGGAGTCAGTGACTTGGTGTCACAATTCTGGCCCTGACAAGTGTCTGTTGTACGTATTACCCAGAGAGGCACTGCTTTATATTTCTGCTCCATTCTTTACACAGCTAAAACTTAATAAATATGGCGCTTAGAAAGCCATGAAGAAGTTCTTGACTGCTAAAGGGCAGAATTTTCGAAGAAGTTTCTTTTTCTTTCTTTCTTTGTCTTCTCAACCCTTTCCTCGGATCTTGTCCCATGGAAGAATAGTAGAAAGAAAATAATGCATTGAGTATTCCAGAATGGGGTCCACTCAGACGTGGTAAAATAAAGTTAAAATCCTCCAGTACCTAATTCCCTTTATCCTACCTACCTTTAAACCTTGATGAAAAGGTTGATATGACAATATCTGCTCCTAGAAAGTATCACATTCACTTTGATTACTAAATGGTAACTTCTTTCTGACTCAATGATTAACTCGCTTTTAAGATAAGAAAACTGAGGAACAACAAAAACCGAGTAGTTTTCCCAAGATCTCAGAGCCTTTCCAGCAGCCAAGGCAGCCTTGCTGACTCTCAGACACATGCTCAGGCCCGTGTTCCAGTATAAACATGTAAGCATGTGGCATACATGCACACACGTGCACATGCACACACACAGACACACCTTTCCTACCTCATCAAATCCCATCTTGTCTGGATATTTAGGGACAGTTGAGACAAACTGGGAGGGTTCCATTGGAGGATGGTCAACTGGAAGACACAAGAAACACGCAGAGCGCCTTGTTAGTGAAAGGATCAGAAAACAGAATTCCATCTGCACACCTGAGCTCTAGGGCTGCGACACAACCTGGAAATACAGGGCAGGGGTAACAGCTCAGCAGTCCCCCAGGACTAAGTGGCTACACGGGCACCCCGATGGTCAGGGCACTGGTTTCAATGGCACTTGTTCACACGAAGACTGCAGTGTTATTCTAAGAGTATTTGGGAGGCAGTTCAGGGTAAGGGTTAAGAGGCAGGGCTCTGGAGTCAGAGGATCTGGGTCCAAATCTTGGCCTTTGAAGGCCTAGGAGAATTAGGGGACCTCTCTAAGCCTCTAATTTCTTTGCGTGTAAAGCTGGGATAATAAAAGTGTATCTCTTACTGTGTTATAAAATTTAAATGAGACCTGCTTGCAAAGCACTCACCACATTAACACAGTAAATGTTCAGTAACTCAGCTATTATTTACCGTGGCCCATGATGAAAGGGCTTAGAATTTTTCTATGCATTTAAAATTGTCAAAGTTTGTGACTATTTTTATCCCATCCAGGCAGGTTTAGCTACAGGTGTGCAAAAGGCCCTTTGTGTTAACACAATCTTACCTCCGAGGGCTGGCCCACATCCCAGAACTTGGTACAGAGCTAATGGGAGAATTCCAGCTGGAGGGACGTTGCATCTTAAGTGATACAAGTTTTATTTATTTGACACTCTGAAAAAAACTTTCTTTGCAAACTCTACATTTTAAAGATTGGAGTAATATTGGTTAAAGAATCTGAGAAGGCGTTGAAGATTTTTAGTATTGTACAAATTCAAAGTACTCATTTGATTTTCCCTAAGGGGATAATACAAAGAAAAAATGAGAGCTGGTAACTGAGTTGTTTGAAGAATTATTGGTGATGGTCATTACTACTGTCACCAATAATCTATCCTCCTCTATTCCAGGCACATGACATGAATACATTTTCTTGCCTTTGAAGTTGCTCATGGCCGTGTGCCTTTCTTGGTGAGGTTTAAATTGTTGCTGCTCAATGCTCCAAACCCTCCTCCCTATCCTGTCCCAGTCCCACCACAGTGATCACAGCAGCATGTGTTGATATGGAGAAGCCACAAATCTGAAGCAGCCTGGAATGCTGCGCCAACACATGGAGAGCAGCTGCCCGGGGAAGACACGAGGACTGCAGACTTTGAATAGCAAGAGATAAGCTCCTGTTGTATTAGGCCAGTAAGATTTTGCTATCTCAGCGTAACTTCGCCCATCCTGACTGAGCTACTGTCCAGCGGGCATGATCTGTTTAACTTACCCTTCACTAAGATGTCAAAGAGCAACCATGACATCCAGTTTCACTTAGGATCAAATGGTGTGAAATTCTAGAAGGTAGTGAGATGGGTTTCCTAAGCCAGACACAAGAGCTGGTCTCATTACTTCAAACTTGATACTTACAGTCACATTTCTGTGAGTACACAGTGCATGAGGGTTTTTTTCCAGTAGCGGTCCAGAATAGTTTGGTCCTTTCTGCTTTACTCCACTCCTTACTATTAATAGTTTCTTTTAAAATCAACAGGGAGGGTCCACCATGTACAGAGTTAGGTTTTAAAGAGAGAGGAACTTAATGTACCGAGTGTCCTTCCTATTCGCTATGTTGTTTGAGGAGGTGTCTAGCTCTCCTTTCTTAGGTCTTAGACTTGGGAGGAGGTTATGTTTTGAGTTACCTTTTCTAGGCTGCTGGTCTTGTTTGGCACTCACATGGCCTGTGTGGCTTTAACATTTCAGCCAAAGAGACTGCTTTTAGCCACTTTGCTTCCAGCCAACATGCACAGTCATTGCGTTCACAGGACAAGTGTAGCAAAAAAGCCACACACAAGTGGCTGGCTCCTGAAAGTCACTGTTGAGCAAAAATATCAAAGAAGTGTGCCTGGATTTTGCCACTGAAGGCAGCACTAAGCCACAGAGGAAAAACAGGAAGTGATACAATCAGTTCAACCTAAGGAGCTTACTACAGGGGAGAGGGGATGTGTCTTTGCTGACGTCAGACTTGAGGTTTAGGTTTATGCCAGCTTCTGTTTGTGGTCATTTCTGACTCTATCATTCACATAATTTTTTTTGAAATGGGGTCTCACTATGTTGTCCAGGCTAGTCTTGAACTCCTGGTCTCAAGTGATCCTCCCATCTCAGCCTCCCAAGTAGCTGGGATTACAGGTCATCATTCATAATTTATCCAGTCTATCATTGAATCCCTTCCTGTAAATGTCCCCCCTAACCCCCCATACCACCACTTGGGACAATGAGCTTCATTGGTTCTTGGACAGTTTCAAGACCTAGGAATAATAACTATAGCTATTGTTATAGAGATCTTATTGCTTGCGGAACTCTAGGCTGCGCACTTGACATATACAATCACATTTATTTAATCTTCATATATACCATGGGATAGATATGACTGTCTCTATTTTCACAGACAAAGAAACAAAGATTTAAATAACTTGCCCAAGGTCATAGAGCTGATAGAGCTGGTGTTTGAACCTAGGTCTGGCTTTTGCACCTGAGCTCTTAAGCCCCACTCCACACCACTCCCAGAGCTACTCCTTGGTGGCCATTGGTGTTCGGCATCTGGGCAGCTGGGCTGGGTTGACAGGAGCTCATTTAGCCCAGTCATGTCTAGAAAAGTGCTTGAGATGTTGCAGTTGGATCAAATTCTAGGACTTCTCTATAGTTCTGCCCGAAATTCCAGTGCTTCAGCCCCCACCCTGGCTCAGGCCCTCATCTACCGTGCCTGGGCTGTTTTGATATTTTTCAAACACTGGCATGCGCTCAGTCTTGCCTATTGTAACTCATTATGCACACTGTTGTCAAAATAATCTTGCTCAAGCACATCTCTGTTCTAGACCACAACAGTCCCACTCAACAGGATACTTGAGTGGTTTACAACTTGTCAAGGCTTTCCTAGTGACCACGTAATTTTATCTTCACTTTTTGTTTTTGTTTCTCCTTACAAACGAAGAGTCTGAGACTGATCCAGATGTAGACTTGCCCAAGGGCAAATAGTGAGACATTAGCGACCTGGAACTCAGTTTTAGACCTTCTGACTTCAAATCCAATAATCTTAGTAATCTTTACGTGACGTTCTGGTGCCTCAAAATGTTGATACGGTACTGAGAACAGGCACCTGAGACTTCCTGTCGCCTCATGCTGTGATTTGCAAGACGAGTCTCTTCGTGTTTCATCACCCATTTACAGCTATCACCTTTACCAGATCTAGCTTCTGTCATTCATCTCCCCAAAGAAGCACATCCCCAAGTCTCTGCACAGCTCCTAATGCACTAAATGAGTTCGCAAGTGTAGAGTGATGGGCACAGTGCTTGAGTGTTAGTTGTTGTTATAACCCATCTCCCACCTCACTCAGATTCTTCCACTGTGATCTCTACAACTCCCCTCTACAACCCATAAACCCCCCGGGCCATTTTCTCGTAAAGAATCTCCAGTCCCTTCCCCTGATCTCGCCTGGTTAGCCCTAATCCTGGATAAACCCGATTGCCTGCTTAGTCAGGACCAATAAGACTACTGCAAGAGAAACTCACAATTGTGTTGACCGAGTCACTTCCGCGTTACAGCCACAGAGGCCAAACTGTCACTTGTCATTGCCAAGTGCTGCAAGTATATTCCATAGTGGATTTACTTCCCCGCTTTTTTGAGAGATCTATTTTATGCCTTCGCTCTCCTAAATCTCCAAATTCTCTGGAGACTGGACTCCATACTTCATAGAGAAAATACTCAAAATCAAAGGAGATCTCCCTTTTCATTCCACCTCAAGTCCCCAAACCCAGCTGCGTGTGTACACATCCTGTCGTCTGTGTACCACCGTGGATCAGGTGTCCCTGTTTCTATCTAGGACGACCTCTCCAGTACTGTCTTGGGTGACAACTCCTCTTGTTTTCTCAAGGATTTCAGCCTTACAATGACCTATTCTTCTACAGCATCTAGGTCTCCTTATAGATTGGAATCTTCTCATTAGCACAAAAACATGCTGTAATTTCCTATTTTTTTAAAACTAATGCAAACAGACAAACCAAGCCAAACTGGAAAAACTTCCCCCTCGATTTCTCAGCCGCTAACAGGCTCCCTCCCACCTCTCCATCCCCATCCCATCAAGATTCCACTTTCTCATCTCCCCATTGTCTTCTCCTCGGCCGGCTCCAATAGGCCTGTGTTCGCATCATCGCACTCAAGTGGCCCTTATCGGCGGCTCGCAGACCTCTGACAGTGGCCAATTCTTCATCCTCATTTTACTTGACTTCTCAGCAGCATCTGGCTCTTTTTTGAAAGACTTCTCAGTTTTTCCCCCCAGCTCTCTGGCTGTTTGTCTTCCCCGGGGATCTGTCCTTTTCTCTGTCTCTGTTCTTTCAGTACATGAGCTCACACTGTTCTGTGGCTGCAAATATCCTTTTTACGCTGACGGTTCTCAAATGTCTGTCTCTAGCTGGAGTCTCTTCCCTGAACTCCAGACTCACATATCCAGCTATCCCCTCAGCTCTCTATTTAGATGTCTAATAAATATCTTAACTTACATAACCAAAACTTCCCATCCCAAATCTTCTCTTAGGAACCCCTTCCCATCTCAGTAAACGGTAGATCAGGTCACAATCCTCAAGTCATTCTTGATTTCTTTCTTTCCTTCATGGACTGCTTCCAGGTCTCCGTAAGCCCTGTTGGCTCCATCACTGAAATATGTCCTCACTCTGTCTGTTCTCATCTCCTGCCCGCCACTGCTCACGTCCCAACCACCATCATCTCTTACCCCGAGGGAGGAACGGGTCCCCTCCACTCTGGTATCCACACTACAGCCTGAGGGATCTTCCCAAATACATAAATCGCATTGTGCCACCCCCTCCATGGATTCCCATTACTCTTCGAATGAAATCCAAATGCCTTACCATGACCAGAATGTTCTGCAAAATCTGGACGTTTCTTCCCCCATGACGTCATCTCCTTCTACCCAACTCCTCATTGTCCACACCCCAAGCACATTGGCCTTTTGTCCCTGGAACATCCCCAGCTTTTTGCTGTCTCACAGCCTTTACATGTGCTGTTCTTTCTGCTTGAATAGTCTCCTCCAAGATATTCACGTGGCTGATACATTGTCTCTCGCTCCGTTAGAGTACGGATGGCCGGGCTTGATGACAGGGCATCTGCCTGTTTTGCTCCCTGCTGTATGCCCAGCATTTTGAACAGTCTATGGAATAGAGTATTTGTTGAATAAATACTTATAGCCCGACTCTCTCTTCTAAAACCTTCATTGACTCCTTGGGAGGGGCATTCTGCTTCAGCTGGGCGTTCGAGGACCACAACAATGAAGCCACCCCACCCTCTCAAACTTTGTTTCCTTCTTCGGTTTTAAGCCAACTGTCTTCCAGGGTGAGAATGTTTTGTCTTTGCTCAGTCTGTTTCCTCCACCTGTGCTGTCCTCACCGTAACACTCCTCTTGTTTAAACTCCACACTTCTATCCAAGCTCAGCTGAAGAACCATCCGGACTTGAAGCTCTCCTGGATCACGCAGGCCACAGCAATCTCTCTCTATTTCAAATTCCTATTGTCTTTATCTCTGCTCCTTTCACAAAACACTATACTGCATTGTTGATGCCTTTCTTGTGTCTGTCCTAACCAAACCACAGGACCTGAAAACAGACAATTGGTTATAAAGCATTTTGAATCCCTAGCACCTTCATAGAGTGATTTATGCATTACAGGTAGGCATTCTATGTTCGTTAATGAATAAAATGAATGTTCTAATGTTTCAATCTAATAGTCTAATGACACTATTAGTAGCCATTTATTGACTGCCTATTGGGTTCCAGACATTGTGCAAAGTGTTTTTAACATCTAGTTCATCTTTCCTTAAAGGAGAACACTTGACCAACATGATTTTTTTATTACCGGCTTTTTATTAATCTTACATGGACCTCCAGTCCATATTTCTGTCTAATAGCTCCCAAAGTTTTGTTTTCCAACAGTTTCTTATTCCAGTTATATTCTATATTTTAAAATTCAGGAAGAGAAGTACAAGACTTGAATAAAATACCATATATAAAGTGCTTAGCACTAGAGTTAGTGTGTGTTGGGAGATCAATAATGAAAGCTGTAATTTACAAGTTCTTCTCAAGTGAATTCTGCCTGGGTAGCATGGTGCTGTGCACATTTGTCATTTGTGACCTTTATTGACAATGTGTGCGTTTCTGTGTGCTGAGAACTTTTTATACTCTCAGTCCTGAGGGAGAAAACAAGGGAACACAAGGTTCTAGCCGGCCTTTCCCTGAGCTGGCGTCTACTTGGGAGTCAAGACTGATAGCCATGGAATAGGCATGATAAGGGGTAGAACTTTACCAAGTGCTAACTGGGTCATAATAATGGTAACATTTCAGTATTTTATGGAGCTGATATATATTATTTTATTTGCTCCTTTCAACCTTGCAAAGTCAGTGTTGTTATCCTCACTCTACAGATAAAGGAACTATTAATAAAGCCCTGAGAAGCTGATTCTCCCTTCATAAGTGAGAGAGCCTAGGTTCGAGTTCATAATTCTTCAGGTTCAGTGCTCTTGGCAGTACAGTTTTCATTCATTTACTCATTCATTCATTCACTTATCTGGTCATGCATTTAGCAACTATTTGTCTGGTACCACCTTTGTGCCACACACTGTGCTAGGTGCTTGGGATACAAGACAATAAGATACCACCGTTGTCCTCTGGGCCTAGAACAGAGAGAAAGAGGCAGAAACAGTATGTATTAAAGAAATTCACAAAAGAGATTCCTAAGAGCTGGTTCAAGAAATGCTGTCACAGCGAACCAGAGCCTTATTCCGTCTTTCATTTGTTCAACTGTTCAACAAATATTTACTGGGTGTTACTAGGTGACAGGCAATGTGCCAGGTGCTAAGACTAACACGATGAAAAAGGAATTACAGTGCGAGGGCAGGGGAGCTGGAAACAGGTACAGGCAGTTCAATGACCCTAACACTAAACTCATGATCTTTCTTTTCAAAACTGTCCTTGATTCTGCATGCCATTTACAAGGCCTGAAATCATCCCAGACACTGAAGGTGGAACGTAGGAGTGTTTCCCTACGCCTCTCTTTTGCTCACCCACCTGCAGCCAACTCCTGGCTAAGTCCTTTCAGGTCCATGTTCTAAGCTTCTTAATGGAGAGAACTCCATTCCCACCGCCGCTGCCATGCTCAGGTCCTCATCCATCCTCTTTCGCCTAGTTCGCCATGCAGTGTCCAAAGTGGTCTTTCCGCCTCTGCCGAGTCCAGCACCCACGGCCCACCCATGCTCCACTTGTCATTCTCTTACCACTCAGTGCCTTTCTAAATCCAAATTCAACCTGACATTTTGTGCTAAAATGCCTTTGAAAGCTCCCCTCCCTTCAGGCAGAGCCCAGACACCTTCTTATACGTTAGAGGTCCTCCTGGCTGGGCTCTTGCCCTCTTTTAGCCTCACGTCCCTCTGTTCCTCCCCAACCACCTCCACTGCCCACATTCACACATCTTATGGTCTAATGATGAGTCACAGAAAATATTCCCCCCTTCGGGAAGCCACTTCCAACACCCTCCCCTAGGCTACGTGGATCAGTTACTTTCTCCTTTACCCACCACTGTACATCACACATAATAATAAGTGTAGCTACTGATGATTGAGCACAGCAATTCATACCTCATGCCAGACCCAGGGGCAACAGCGTGCAGTGCTTAAGGACGTGAACTTTGGAGATAGCAAGATTGGTTCAAACCCCAATCTGTCATTTGTTTAGCAGAATGATCTAAGGCAAGTTACTTAAGGTCTCTACATCTCAATTTCTTCATCTTCACTATGGGAATTATAAAATCCCCTTCATTCAGTTGTTAGGATTTATGGGACAATGTATGAAAAGTGCTTACCATGGTATCTGTTAAATCATAAGCTATTATTAAGTTGAAGTCATAATTATTGTTGTTGTATTAGATCTTTCACACGTATCATGATGAATCTGCTCCCCAAACCCTGGAATTTTTCATTATGTCCATTTCACAACTAAGGAGGTTACTTGCTCAAAGTCATATAACTAGAAAGCAGCAAAGTTAGGGTTTAAATTCACATCATCCAACACTATTACACACTTATCGCATTGTGTGCAAAGTCTTTATGTGTGGAGAGTATTTACTTGTGTACCCAGCTCTTCTCCGGCATGAGAAGCTCCCTGAGGGCAAAAACCTTGTCACATTCATATTTTAGAAAGAGTGAACAAATAGCTATATATTCAGCCAAGGCAGACTGATGTCCGTGAGATGCCAATCCTGGAAGAGGAGGGAAGTGGCTGGTCTGGTCACTGTAGCAAAGGAACAAGAGCTGTCACCCCGGCTCCTGTCACTCACTCATTGCTTCTATCTGCACGTGGATGAGGTTCTCGATGTCCTCCTGCAGCGTCTGATGGGGCTTCAGGGGGATGGGCAGGTAGCCATAGTGCTCTCTGTTGCAGAGATGCATCTGGATGCCTGAGGACCCAACAGAGGGACAAAGTCAACCAATCAGAAAACACACAGCTTAGTGACAGCTGCGGAAAAGGAGATGGGACTGTGGCTGCTGCTCAGTTGGACACAAGTTAAACGAGTGGTTGTTTCAGGTATGTCTATCGACCTCAAAAATGTTCCTTTATTAAAAAAGTCAAACACAGCACTGGGGACTAATAAAAACACTGAGCCATTCTTCAGCCCAGAGGAAATTGATTTTTTTCTCTCTGAAGAAAAAGCAAACTCATGGCCTGGAAAGAACACCGAAGGCATGAAGGGATCAAAACTGCGGCAAGGAATTCCCATTCCAGAGAGCAGAATGGAACACTGTAATCCACCTACAGGAAATCACGAAAAAATGAGGAATGAAATCCACATTTGATATGAAAGCAAACAGGAAAATTCTGTAAGGCTGACAGATTATCAAAGCTAAATCTAGGCATACATAGAACAAAAAAATGAAAAAACAAAGGAAATTTAAAATTTTCCATAATTCTCCTTGGTTTTATTTCTTCCCTTAGCAGGCGTGGATTTGGAGTCAACCAATGGACAAGAAACTTCCAAAATCAGTTCATACAGGGACAAAAGACAGTCTGCATGTCCAGTCCTGTTAAGAACCTGCAGTGTGACAATAGCAGCACCCTCTTGTATGCAGCGCTGGTCCTTGTGAGGACCCAGCTGGAGAACGCTGAGGGTTATAAGACATCTGTGTTTGACCAGACTGCTAGAATCCCAGCAATCAAGGTGGTCTCATGTAGATTCAGCAACTGACAGTCCTGACTAATGAAAAGATTGCTTAGTTAAAAGGATGAGTCTGCCTTGGTCCATGTGTCCAAGTCTCTGATTTGTTAATTGCTATAATCATCAGTGTTTTCCTGAGAATTACCTGCATACTGACTTCTCTATTTTGTGCAGATGAAATTTCCTCCGGTCAGCTGCATCACCTGCCAAGTCAGGTGAAGCTGTCTCATGGTATTAACAGAGAAGAACGGGCAAAGAAAAGAGGCTTTATCCCCCATTTTTACTGAATCTGGCTTGAATCAAGGCTGGTCCACTAAGCACTGTCTCTTCTCCTGCCTTCACCAAGTGAACTCACTAGCTCTGCTGTTTGCCCACAGAAATGCTTCTGGGAAACTTCAAATAAAAATGCACCTGCAAAGTCATGATGAATTCAGGAAGTGGAAGGAGAAAAGATTTAATATTAAGGTGTATCTTTACCCTAATTAGGCAAAAACATTTTACCATTTAACTTTCTAAGCTTCCATAAAAAGGAGGTATGATACCTAGCCAAGCTATCCATCAAGCGTGAAGGTACAAAGAAGGCATTTCAGACATGCAATAAAATATTTAATTCCCATCACACTTTCTCAGAAAGCTACTGGATGATGTGGAAGAAGGATGAGCAGAAAAAGGAGGAGGAGGAGGAAAAAGAGGAAATTAAAACCAATGAGAAAGACTTGGGACACAAACAGGGGAGTCAACGCATAAGAGAAGAGACTTGAGTCCCAGGTTGAGAGCTGCGGTACCACTCAGATTAGAGTATGTCAGAAGGCTCCAGGAGGGACATCTTCCCAAATATGGAAAAAAGGACATTGATGAACTGAACATTTTGATTGGAGTTTGAGAAAATTAGTGATTAGTTTTGGATTGTATTAGTAACAAAAAAAAAGAAAGAAAAAAGGGCAATTATTAAGTTAGATAAAGGAAAACTATCCATAGTTTCTAACTGGCTGAGTTTGGAATTAGGTTCGCCTGGCCCTGGATTTATCTTAAACTACCCTGAGAGGATGGGGTGATGAGAAGAATGTGTTTGTATGCAGGGGGCAAACGGTGGAGAGAGAGCTAACTCCTCACCTTCTGGATGGGAGATTAATGCCTACAGAGAAGCCAAAGGATCAAGAGGGAAAATACAGCATGTTAGTTAGAAACAGGGATGTAAATATCACCCTACTATCATCATTTAAAAGAGGTAAAAGTGGTCGTCTTCTGGAAGAGAGAAATGATGCATTTCTCATGTGATGTGGAGAGGCTTGCTCAACTCTTAACCTTGGGGAACTATTAGAACATTTCAACTATGTGCATGGACAAGTTGATAAAAATAAAATTAAATTAAAAAGAAATATGTTAATAATTAGATAAAGTCTAGGAAGGCATCTGGCACCCTCAGGGAAAGCTGCTACTGGAGAAAACAATTTTCTTTTTGAAAAAGAAAGGTGAATTATACAATTCTTTGAAGGACTTTGTTTTTCTTATAAAGATTTCAAATATTATCTTGTACTCACATAGTATCTTAACAATGCAGATTGATACAACTATCTCTATCCTTGGTGATGAAAAATCAGACTTAGAGAGGCTGTGACTTGTCCGGGGTCACACAGTAAATCATTAGTGCCAAATCGTTGTCCCCAAAGGGCCAATGCCAAGTGCTTTCTACCCACCCCAGATTTAGAGGCTTGGTTCTGGGACCGTTACTCACTGGGGGTTGCTGTCCGACACATGAAGGGCAATTTTGATTACTAGCAGCAACGCCCAGGAGGCAGATCTGCCTGCCCATCACCCACAGCACTTGCCTCTTCTGACTCATTTGTCTTTCTGACATTTGGAAGATGACTGGCTGGCACCAGGGATGGTTCCTGTGGCCATGATACAGAACCCAGATCCCTGGCCACAGTGGGAGGTGAACCCTTGACCCTGGCCTCATAGCCACAGAGACTCGCCTGGCACCATGTGCTCTCTCCTTGGGCTGGACGGGCAGCCAGGCGCAGCTCACCTGCACGCTTGGCTTGCTCCTCTCACTCCTCGCCCACGGTGGCAATGGCTGGAGTCTGAGCTGGAAGATTTAGTACTACAGGCTGTGGTTAGATGGCCCTGCCTGGGACATGCAGACCCTTTATTTCTTTTTGGACAAATTAAAAAATTATGCTCCAATGGACGATACACAGCTATGGAGCTTCAGAAGAGTGAGAACAAAAGAACACAGATCATCCTTCATCAGGACTCTTCAAGGGAGAGGGGACGTGCTCTGCTTTGGACGGGAGAAAGGAAGAGCCACCCCACGGGCTGCACTTGCGACCCCGGGCTCATCCATGTTTTTCCCCAAAATACTGACAGATGACTAAAATGCTACTTTAGAACCTGCAATTGTCAGGAAATATCTTTCATTTCCCCAAAATGACAGTGACTCTTTCCTGCCTCGACTCCCACCCTGTCCAGTCTGTACCCCTGATCTGCCCTCAGCTTTCACTGTCGTGACTATTGCTTATGTTTTCACATGTAAAAACCTTAACTCCCAACGAACGTAGAGTCTAACACAATGCTAGGCATCAAAGTGAAGCCTTGCGGACTGATCCTCTCTCCTTCCTTTTCTACCTCTCCTCTCCCCACACGAGTCACCAGACAGCCTTGGGCCTCTGTACCTGCTCTCGATGTTCTGAAAAGGACTCTGGGAAGTCAGAGCAATAACGCACAAAGTCCCGGTGAACAGGCCAAGCACAGGAAAGAGCTGAAAAATTCCTGCCCCACCTGGGCCGCTCTTCCAGCCCAAACATCCAGGTATTGGTTTCAAAAATATATCATAATAAGTTAGTGCACGGGGTCACAATAATGCCTTGTGCAATGACTATATAAAAGGACTCTGTTAGGCAGTGACCATTATTGCAATTGTTAACAGCTCACTTTCTTGGACTATCCTTACTTCAAGCTCTGAAGCAAAGGCACTGGCACAACTTGAAGAAATGAGAAGGCCCTGACTCTGCTTCCCATCCTGGAGAAGTCAGAGCAAATCACGGACGAAGCTGAAAGCAGTGGTTCCCATTAACATTGACACAAGAACCTTCATGAAAACTTTCAATCCACCCGAGGATTGCTTTTGCCTGACACAAGGCCTAGAAAATGCCTACACTTGGCCAAAGGATCTAAATTCCTCTAGCAGCCAGGGGGGAAATCAGCCTTACACATTTCTATCAAATATTCTCATTCCTACCAAATCTACACTGAGGAGTGAGACACCTATGGCTTTAAGGACAGTCTGACGTGTGAGTTGTAGTTGAACTTGTGTTAACACTCTCACCCGCCAGCAACTCCCTCAGCTGCCTGGGATCCTTGCATGGTCTCTGTTACCCTAAGGCACGTGGGCACAGATTGCTTATTCACCGTCTTCTTGACTCGTAACCTATTGTCGCTAGTAGTTAAGTCACACATTTCTGGCACATTGATAACGGGACCTGATTTCCATCAGGAAGGTCTAAATTGTCCCTAATAAAGCTTTGCTTTAGTAATGCCACGTGTCTTCCTGTTAAACTGCTTTTGTGAATTCTGTGCCCCCTGACAGCAGGTGTTGGATGAAATGAGAGAAATAACTTTCCTTCCTATAGAATTGTCTTTTGCAAAAAGCCTGCAGGCCCCACTGGAAATGCTTTCCCGTGGTTCAGTCTGGCTTCGCCTCTCCCTCCACAGGGACCGAGGTGGAGACTGCCGGTGCCTCCCGATGTCTGCTCTTTCCTTCTAGAGTGAGAAAACCGGGGCTCGCGCCTGCATAAAGACGACACGCCGCGCCTGCCCTACAGCTAGGTCTCGTTCTGTGACTGAGCTCTGGCTGACAGGATGTGTGTGGAAGTGCCGTGTTCGTCTTCTTGATTGTCCCCTTAAAGGCGCAGAGAGTGTCCTCTCCTCTGTTTCTGTCTTGATGGCTGGAGTGCGTCCACGGCGGTGAGACTTCCCAGATTCTAAATTAAGAGCAATACCTCAAGGAGGGTGGAGAAGTGATATGGAAGGAGCCTGGGACTCTGAAAACTTTGTAGAACACACCACCGTAGCAGCTCAGACTTTTCTGAAAAGAAATGAACTTCCATTTTTTAAGCCTGGGGTCTTTGCGCATGTTGTTTTGGGCCTCTGTGACTGTTTCCTAATTAATAAAGGGACTCCTGTAATCAACAACAGCAATGTAGTAGCACCATGGAGAACCAATCAACTTCCCGCGACTCCCAACACCACTGCCACTGTCCCCTCCAAAATACAGTGGGTTCCTGAGTAGGGGTAGTCCTGGCTTTTGGTCACAGACAGCAACATAGACGGTGTTAGTATGATTACTGCAGATAATTAATTGCCTTTAACACTACCTGAAAAGGAAGTGTTTTTTACTGAAAGGGGAAGGTTTTTTTAATAAGATGCTCAAAACAAAGGGACTATTCATTTGCCGTGTTTCCATGGTAGCAATACAACCAAACCTAAATGGTACCTGCTTGCCTGCTGGAGAAGGCAAAGACGATAATGTCATCAAAGGTCCAGGCGAAGTCCTGGTGTGGAGGGTAGAACGTCAGCTTGTCAGAAGCTTCCTTCCTGAGGTCAATCAGGAAGGTGGAGTGGACCATGGGGACGGGGAAGCAGCCCAATCTCTTCCACTCTCTAATCTGAGGGTAGTCTGGGGTCCGCTTATAGAAGCCCTGTAAAACAGCAAATGGGTGGGCTGTGTTCTCTGAGCTGAACGTTTCGTCTTCCCAGTCATCCGCTGGGTGGATTCCAAGTTGTCACGAGTTAAATGGAAGCCCCCAAACAAAGTCACCTTCACTCCTCTCATCTTGGCTTAAGAATCTCCAAGGAAGCTCAAGACATGCTATCTACATATAAAACAATGCCAAAACAGTCATGTTATCAGAAATAATTTTGATTTTAGCATGTCCTTTAATATGATAACTTCATAAAAGTGTATTTTATGTTGACTTATGATTCAATATGAAGTGCAAGTATGCAGAGATGGTAGAGCAGAGCATTTAAGAGTGCGGGTTCTGGTGTCAGACTCCCTGAGTTCAAATCCCACCTCAGCCACTTATGTCTGTAGGTGTTGGTCAGGGGACTCGACCTTGCTGTCCCTATTTCCTCATCTCTAAATCAAGGATGATGGCACTACCTAGTCCATGGAGTTGTCTGTAAACACTAAGTAAGGTAATACCAGAAAAGTGCTTAGGAGAGTGTCTGGGACTAAGAAAGCATTAACAATTATTGGCTAGTATTAAAATGACATTATGCTCTGGCTAATATTTTTAATTAAACATGCATTATTTAGACATACAAATGAGGGTCTTCTTTCAATGCAGTTACTTATTCAATATTCTGGTGGAGTTGCAGCTGCTCCATACTTTTTGGGAATTCACCTTTTGAAACTTCCTTCTGCACAAACACACAGGACAACCAATCCCCTTACTTTATGGTTTTAAACAACTTTGGCATCGCCCAGCTTGTTTTCCCTCCATACTCAACTGTTCATTCGACAAGAACCTACTGGGTCCCTACGATTATTCAGGTGCTGTGTTAAATGCTGGAGACTTGTCAGTAAATAAGACAGCCCGAGTCAGAGTCCTCATGGATTGTAGAGTCCAGTAGAGAAACTTACACTTTAGTGGCATCACTTATAACTTGACCATGTCTAAAGCTCAAATCCATTCTAGAAAAGATGAAGATGTATCTCAACAGAACATACTTGTGGAAGCTTTGAAAGGCATTTTGAAAAATTTCCTAGGTGATGGCAGGCTCACTGGAATGAGTGTAAAGTTTCATAGGCCAACACTCTGAAGGGCACAAAAATCCCTACAGGTTCTTAGGTGTTCATCAGTCAGTGGCATTAACTTATGGTCACATTTCCTGTTGTGACGTCAGCACCCACACATCAGGCACCGCAGCCTCGTCTCCTTCTCTGATATTCCCTTCCAGGTCTAGAAGAGTGTTGTAGCTGAGCTAACCCTAAAACTGACCACATGATAAGGTAGAAAAATCACGAATTAAGACTTAGAAGATGTGAATCTTAGAGTCACCTCAGCCACCTTCTAGCTGTGTGATCTTAGCCCACACTTAACCTCTTGGAGCCTGAGTTTCTTCTCCTGAAAAATGGAATAAGAGCTGCTATGTCTCTCTCATGGGACTACAGAAGGAATCACAAGTGATCAGGTCAATGAAGGTATTTTTGGAACTGTAATTTATTATATGAAATATTATTATTGCTATAATTTTTATTAGCCTTTAACTTAAGGATTGTTTAAGATACTTTATGGGTTCTCCTAACACTTCAGCTTATGAGCAGTCTTTGAGGGATATAGGGAACACTTCTAAAGGGTTGCCTAAGGACTCATGTCAAATAGAAAGTTCTAGACTACTTAGGAACAATATTTTCAGAATGAGAAGCTTGGAAAATTCATGATGATGATGAATCACTGAATATCCTGTGGGGGGAGGTGAGAAGGAAGAAAGCAGAGAAAAAAAAGAGAGAGACAGAGAGAGAATTAACGTGTCTCCTGCAGAGAGGCAGAGGCAATGGGTGCCTCTCTTTTTCCACATAAACCAAATTTTGTTGGTGATGATTCCTGTTCATTGGCCAGACAACACCAAAGTCATTTTGTTTTGGTTGTGTTTAAAGCTTGCCTTGAGCTTATGAAGTCATCGGCCACTTCTGTTCCACCCTTGTAGAAGCCTAACTGGGATGGTAGAAAGCCAAAAACAGACGGAGGAAAATTAGAATTGCCCAAGTTGCTCAGAATTTAGTTTTACTGTGCAAAATAAGTGAGAAAATTTCTCCTATTTGCCTTTTTTTCCCCCTGAGACAGTTTTGCTCATCATAGCTCACAGCAACCTCAAACTCCTGGGCTCAAGCGATCCTCCTACCTCAGCCTCCTGAGTAGCTGGGACTACAGGCGTGCACCACCACACCTGGCTAATTTTTCTATTTTTTTGTAGAGGTGGGGTCTCCCTTTTGTTTAGGCTGTTCTCAAACTCCTGACCTCAAGTGATCCTCCTGCCTTGGCCTCCCAGAGAGGTAGAATTACAGGTGTGAGCCACTATGTCTGGCCTATTTGCTTTTTAATAATCAAAGCAAATAAGAAGATAATAGAAATTGGAGGCTGCAGTCACCAGGATAAGCCACCCTTGTCGCTGGTGTCGAAGCATGGCTCATTAAAAAAAACCCTTGAGTGACTCTGCCACATGAAACACTGCAGATTATTAACTGAATATGTATGAGTTTAAACTAACCTAATATAACATTTTCTCCCAAGGAGAAATGGCCTTTATAAATAGGAACCTATTGCCTTTCTAAAAGAGATAGAGATAACAGCACGTATTCAAAATCTCTTGGAACTAGGAGAACTAATTACAACAAAAGAGGAATACTTCAACTAGTGGTGTATTGGAGCCACAAATTGTCAAATTTTCAGGAATTTTGCAAGCCAGCTGACATGTTGGTAGCTTGAAATCTATAAAAACAAAAATCACGTTAATTCCCACCACTCTAACACCACCTCAGATAACAGCTTTGCCTATTTGTAATAATTATATCATTAACTTACTATACTGCAGTTTACTTAACTTTTCCTTTAGCTTAACAACATTAAAGTTGTTTGCATGATGTGAGTATTTATACTATAAAAATCAGCAAATGCTACCAAGTGGCATTTTCCCACCAGAGAGCCAGTTACTAAACATTTATCAGCACACCACTGGCCTCATTCCTTATCCTAAATCAAACCAAATATAAAAAGAGAGACTCAAAATTTAGCACTTCAGCCACAAGAACACATTGAACATACCTTTTTTAGCTCGGCACATCTTGATCCTACATTGATACATATTACATTGATTGGTTTAATTAATCTCTCTAATTCATTAAGTAAAGAATAAAAAATAAAATCAGCCGTAAGTATTCACTGTAACAAACCTCTAGACTTTGAAAATTTTTACTATGGAAAAGAGAAATGATGGAAATTCAAAATCTGTTTTTAATTTGAATTTTGTAAAAACAAGGTACCATGGCAGTTTTAATTATTAGAACTCTTTGGAAATAAATTTGGCAACATATATCAAAGGTCATCAAAATATTTACACTCTTTGATTCAGTAATTCCACTTAACCTAAGGAAACAATATTAGATGATACAGAAAAATTTACATTAATCATGATGGTGATTATAATAGTTAAAATTTGCAAACAACTTAAATGTTGTTCAAACCAAGAGAAAGCTTAAGTAAATTGCAGTATAGCCACCTAATGATAATGTAGTTAATAAAAATGTGCAAGCTTCTGTCTATGCACGGTGTTACAATGGTGGGGATTAACTATTCTGATTTTTTATTTTATTTTATTTTATTTTATTTTTTTCCATTTCTAAGTTTTTCTATACTGTTCTCATATTAGTTTTGTAATTACAGAAAAAATTAATTTTTTATTTAAAATCCCTGAATCAAGCAGGGGGGTGGGGAATACAAATCCCAGCATGCTTTATTGGTTAATTGAGGTTTCTAAGGGTAAGCTCTTGAGAATCTTTTCTGCATAGTTAATTCATACAGAAGAGCCCAAATGAGTTGTAGCATTGGACCCGGATTATTGCCTTTCCTGAAAGTGTTTGCTCTAGTAACATAATGACATGCATTACGCATGTTTCAAAGGGGGAAATGAGAAAAAGGTAAACGGGGCAACGGCTGACCCAGTGCTGCCCTGTTAAAACTTACAGCCTTAATTCGTTAACCCGGTGACTTGCCTGAGGTGTGATTCCGCACCAGAAATTAGAGTACAGGCCTCGAGACTCCAGCATGGGGGCCACAATGGTTTTGTTTTCTGCAATCATTAGATTGAGGGTCTGTGGATTAGTCAGGAAATTGTCGACATCTATGAACTAGGAAAAGAAAAGGATAATGTCAGGTGAAAAGGTATTTTTCAGCAATGGGTTCAGGAATAACTCGGGACATCTGAAGGATCACAGGAACTTGCTCCTGAAATATGGAAAATAGTTATCTATGTCCTCCTTATGGAAACCCGTTGCAGCTGGTTGGCTTTCATTCAGTCAAAATACCTTTGGCCTAACTTGCACACGTTTAGCTCTGCATAAAGCACTGCACAAAAACTGGTGTCGCCACACTGGGCACAAACTCAACCAGGACCCAACCTACATCTTGGTTAGTGGATTAAGCACAAGATATTAATAGCTCCAAAGTCCTTAAAAATTCATTCAAAAACGCTTATTGAGTGCCCACTCCAGGTACAGATGGGTAGACCTATTTAGGTTTTCTATATTAATGCCAGAATGGCCTAAAACAGATCCATTGCTATTTTAATGTTATAAGTAGAATTTTTGTTTAAAGCACACTACATCATCCCATGCTAACCAGTGAAGCTACTTTCCATTCTTAGCAAAAATCCATGTGAACAGTGATTCATTTACAAAGACAGTGTAACAACAGATTCTACCATATAAAAGAAATAATCACACTGAATTGTACACGTAAAAATGGCTAAATCGATAGATTTTATGTTACGTATATTTTATCAAAATAAAAAAATCAGAAGTGTTTATTCTTATAACAGTCAATCTGTTTACCAAAAATTTTGTGGTTCAGCATTTGTATACTTTGATGACATTTAAACAGCAATGTTAAATATCGTCAGTATAATTTGAAAATGTCTATGAAATTATGTGTGTTTCAAGTGTGTGTGATAAATTATTGGGCTGATTGTTGTTGTGGTTGAGGGGCTGGGGATGGACATAAGTCAAAAATATTCTCTTTGACAATCAGAGTCTAGTGACAGCAAATGTCCGTAAATGTACTGAAATAATATTGGCTTTGCCTCAAATCAGTGTTATTTACAGTGTCATACTGGAAAATGATTGTCAAAAGAATTAAATGGATTTGGGGAACCAGAGATGAAAAACTTGATTCCCACAAACTTGTGAGGGAAAATCTGTCAACTTTCAAAAGGGAAAAGGGGTCATAGCTCCTTGCTGCTTAGGAAGCTGTCCTCCGATTTCCAGTTGAGAGAGGGTTATGGAGGACAGGGATGGAGAATAACATCTATGCCTAATCATCAAGTTCAGCTATTTTTCTGGACCACTCTCAAAATTCTAAGGAAAGCGATGGAACCTCTTCATGGACAGAAGTTCTCCATGAGAACCCCACACAACCGGAAGCAATCAGGAAGCCAAAAAAGAGATACCATTCCTCAAAACACTCAGGAGCAAAAGGGGACAGTTTCAGAGCTGTTCACCTGAGTCTGCTTTTTATATAATTATTTTCTTATAT